TCTTTCCTTGGCTGCTCTGTCACTGTCCTCTGTCTCTCCTTCTCTCTCTCTTGTCCTCTCCGCCTCCCGTCTCATTTCTCCTTCCTTGGCTTGCTCTGTCACCGTCCTCTGTCTCCTCCTCTCTCTCTCTTCTTGCTCCTTTCCACTCCGACTCTTCTCTCTCTCTCTCGAACCTTCTCTTTCCCCCGATCTCTCTTCTCTTTTTTCTTTTCTTTCCTCTCTTTTCTTCTTTTTTCTTTTATCTTTTCTTTTCTTTCCTCCTTTTTTTTTCTTTTCCTCTGTTCTCTTTTATTTTCTTTCCTCTCTTCCTACCCGTCCATTTCAAAACGACGTCGTTTTTTTTTTCCAGTTATTACACCTATACAAATAAAAATCAAATGGGAAGAAAAAGTTTTTCAAGGAGGTAGGTTACATGAATTTCCCCATTTAAAGGATTTGGAATACATCTTTTTCACAATTATTTTTTTTTTCTTTTATTTAAAAATTTATAGTGAAAATTTTCATTTAAATTATTATTATTATTTAGCTAAATTGTAACGGCCCCGGAAATGTTAAAATGAAATGAGTATTTAAACACATAAAATGCGGAAGCGAGATCAAAATTTCAGTTAACATCCCTTACACGAAAACCAAAAACGTACTTAAAATATAAAAGATTAAACTAACTAAAAGAGAAACTCGAAAATAAAACTATGAGTATGACTACAGAGTCTCTAGGCATCCCCTTCGTCGTCCTCCTGCGGAACGGGCTCGGGAACCATGTCTTCCTGATCTGAAATGGTTAAATAAGGAGTGAGCTACACTAGCCCAGTAAGAACATCACGATATCTCACCGTCACGGAGGTAAAGGTGGGTAGAAAAACACAAAAGACCAATGGAGCATGATTTACAACAAATCCTTTTATTTATGATAAAACCTTTACCATCCACTTACCTCGGTGGAATTCATGAAACAATATAAGAAAAACAATAACATTATCACAATCATGGAATAATATAAGCTGTAAAACATAGCACTTATCACGCCTTTTGTAATTCAATCATTATACAACATATCCTTTTCTCATTTACCAGCCTACTAGTATCCATGGGGGTCCATAGGGGTCCCGCTACCTGTTAACCTTTAACATTCATAATCAGTTTTCAGGGCCGTCCCCATACCCCGTCCGGTATGGGCGCCAAAACCATAAACCTCAATACCCCGTCCGGTATGAGGGTGAAACGGACCGTCCCCATACCCCGTCCGGTATGGGCGCCAAAACCATAAACCTCAATACCTCGTCCGGTATGAGGGTGAAACGGGCCGTCCCCATACCCCGTCCGGTATGGGCGCCAAAACACATAAGATCTCCATACCCCGTCCGGCATGTGAGACCACAATCCCGGTAGGGTTCCCTACGGACCCGGTTCGTCCACCATCTCCCAGGATATCTAGTCAGGCTGACCCCATCATACAATTATCAGTCTACACAATCTTTCATTTTCCTCTTCCTCAGTAAGCATTATCAATTCACATTTTAAACAAGCAAGTCGTAATTCATGCTAAACAAACAACATACGGTATCAGTTTTTCAGTCATTCAACCCATAACCAATAAAAACGTAATATATGCACACGAAACTATAAAATAAACACATCAAACCTCATTTTGCATTTAAAGCTGTAAACAGGCCAAATAACAGTAAATCATCAATCACACTAGACTTGGGCTCCATTAGCAACCTTAAGCAATTTCACACATTCGTTAATTCAAGAAATACCGTTTTATCATTTTGAACTTTAATACCGTGATAGGAAATAGGGTGAGGGGTCCTTACTCATTTCGGGGTCCGAACACGGCTTTGCAGTGCGCTTGCAGGCTATCCCTAATTTTCCCTAAATTTTCCTCGGGGAACTGAAACGCACTACTGGTACCTGCACGTGTTCCAAAAAAATCCCAAATTAGGCCCAGGGCCCCTTTCGGCCCAAATCGTAACTCCGGCACGGCGGCTCCGCCGTGCTCCAACGACGGCGCCGCCGCTGGCGGCGGCGAGTCGCCTCGGGTTGGCTGTTTTCGGCCGTTTCCGGCCGAATTCGGCCACACTCGCATCGGTCCCTGTGAGAAAACAACCCTAGGGCCCTCGGGGGGCCAAAAAATCACGGAAAAACGGAGCTTACCGGCGGCGGCACTCTCGGGTGCGGCGGCTCTCCGGCGAGGTTCGTGTTTTGGTGATTCGGCTCTGGTCAACCTGTAGAGAAAAGAATGGTGATCACAGTGATATAAAAATTGCATCAAACGGAGGCCGGGAAAGGCCTCATCGGAGGTAAAAACCGAGAAGGGCGCGCGCGCCGCTGGCCTTCGGCCGCGTATTCCGGCCGTTTGGCCAGGATTTTGGCTCCGATTTGGCCACAAGAGGAATCAGCGTGGAAAAACGAGTCGGGGGTATGAAATTTACCTCGATCGGCGGTCGGAAATTTCCCCGACGCGGCGGCGGGTGGCGGCGGTCGGCTTCTGGTTTGTCTTCTCCGGCGAGCAGCAGGCGGCTAGGGTTTGTGGTCTGGTGTGGGGGTTCTATTTATAACCCCTTGCCTTTTGATCTCAGCCGTTCATTTTGTTTTAATTTGGGCCGTTCGTTTTTGATTGAATCTGGGCCGTCCGTGCGATTGCATCTGGGCCATCCGATCGCGCAATTGATCTGGGCCGTCCGATCGCGCCCACGCGGATCGCCAACGTGGCCCATTCCGGAGTGACGTGGTCTTGCCACGTGGCAGGCCCCGGTTGGCCGGGATTGCTGACCGGGCCTGCTGACGTAGCTGCCGACGTGGCTTTCTTTTTTTTTTTTTTTCGGCTCGTTTTCTCCGGGCGCTACATAAATTATATTATTATTATAATTATAATTTTAAAATAATAAATTTATTACTTTTAAAAAACACAAAGGTAACAACTATATGAACTAAAAACATTATTTATCTCATATATGAAAACTATTTTTTGAAAACATTTATGGACTATTTTCAATTTTATTTTATTAAAAATAAAAGAGTGTTGTGTAATATAACACATGGGTTGTGGGGGTCCAAGTCCAAGAGAAGTAAATACTAATTAAAGCAAACTTGAAATAGTATGTCGTCCACTATTATTATTGGAAATATCCACACATATATATATGCATATATAATCCCCATATGTAAATATAATATTTGACAATCAAAATATCAAGCATTATAATTTTGAAATTTGCCATAACTCTTTTTTTTCTATGCATCAAATCAACCAAAAAATCATAAAATATTTGACCAACCTCATATATGCTTCCAAATTAACTATAAAATAATCAAAATTAAAATTAATAAAAAATAAAGTGTGACAATTATTTTATCCGTTACTATATTATAATATATATCATCACGTAAATAATAAAAATATTAATAATTAAATTAAATAATTTAAAATCATTACTAATTGTACAACAAATTTCAGTTTGAAGATTTTTTTAATTTAAAATTGAAAAAAATTACAAAATTTTAAATTAAGAAATCTAAAATTATAAGGGATTAGAGTTTATAATTACAATCTTATAATAAAATGAATAAATATCTTGTATTTGACTAATCTCTCGGTGGGCCATGATCCCGTGGTGCACGTACCAAGTGTCTTCCTATGTAGTGGGTTTGCCTCGCTTTCACATGTCCCTGTCAAGGGTTTTTGTAACCATCAGGAAATCAAATCAATCATGTGATTCTGTGCGGACAGCGATGCGGTCCATCATCTATCATGTAACGCGGCCACACTAGATTACAGCCACATTTACTTTATAAAATAACATCATGTATGTAATTAACTTGTATGTGTTTTCCCGTCATTGATCATGCTTTTATAAAAATTATTTGTTTGATTGAATGTCAATATTCAATCCGTTAAATGTATGATTGAATATATATATATATATACACATATATTTACTTACAATACAATAAATATTTTTATAATATAAAATTTGTTAATTAAATATTAATAAATTTATTACCATATTTAAATAAAATAAATATTTTTATAATAGTTATATTTTCTTAGTGTTAGAGTAGTTATAATGAGTTAATAAATTGCATTAATTAATTTAAATTAAATTTTAATAAATTTATTTTATTTATAAATAAAAAATATTTTATGACAAATAATTTTTTTTAATCTTAAAATAATTATAATGGGTTAAAGAATACGATATAATATTTATTTTGATAAAAAAAAAAATTATCAACTAATTGGTTTTGATCACGTGGTTGTATATGTTTACATTCAACTTCGAGACTTTAATTTGACATTTTATTTTGATTATTTTTTAGTAGAAAATTAATATATATTATGTTACATTTAAAAGTAAAATTAAAAAAAATTAATCATGGATACATAAAATTTGGTGGAATTATGTGATTCTACATGTGTATATATTAAAAAATTATATTGATCACATGGGTTTTGAATTATTATTTTTTAAATAATGAATTATGGATTTGATAAAAAGTACGACTTAATCAAAAAATATTATAAAGTGGCAAATTCAAATAGTTTAAAATTGAATTAAAATTTTCATATAAGTTAGTATTTCATTTACCAATTTTTTTTTTTAGGTTTATGAAAATTACTATTTAAACTTGGTGACGAACTTCATTTCATAAACTTAATTTTTCGTTTTGATGATTATATTAACTATAGCATATATATAATATAATTTATTTTCATTAAAGTAATAGTTTCTATGATTAAGAAAAGAACCCACTAGTGTAATGGGCCTGAAATGACATGACACAATTGCCTCCCAGGCCCATTTGTCTTTCGCTTTCCACGTTTTTGACGGTCAACAAGGTTGGGCGCCGAACCGCGCGCAAAAGTGGAAATTCAGGATGCAGGAAGTAAATAAACGACGTCGTTTTTGTCCAGTTTAGTTCATTCGTCGTTTTCGTCCATCTGAATTTCTCCCTCTCTCTCTCTCTCTCTCTCAAACGCAGAGGTTAATCGAAACTCAAAATTCAGAAAACCGGAACAGTCAGAAGCTGCGAAAAATGGCGGTTGAGGCGAAAATCGCACCGTCGATGTTGTCATCTGACTTCGCCAATTTGGCGTCGGAGGCCGAGCGGATGCTTAATTGTGGTGCCGATTGGCTTCATATGGACATCATGGTACTCCCCTCTCTCTATCCATATATAAATAATTGTTTTCTACTAGAACCGTAATTTTTCTGTTTCCTACATCTGTTTATGGGGGATGATGTAGTCGATTCATAATCATTTGTAATCTTTTGTCAAAATCGTTACAACTTGCTAATTTATTGAACTTAGATAGATTATATAATGGAGGAATAGGGTTTGAGATACTGCACTGGTCTGTTTTGTTTGTCACTCGAACGAGGAGGTAAATTTTAGAAAAAAGAACGGAAAAACTTGGAACCAACATTATTGTTTGGAAGATGGATTCAAATTCTGAAATTCTTGGCTTACGTTTGTCTGTTTGTTTTGTGCATAATTTGCTCTCGGATTCTTTCAGGCCATAATTTTCTCATTTGTGGTTAGAA